GGATTTTATGTGTTTTTCTTCCAAAAGAAAAAAATCATTATTCAAACGAGGTGATAGAAATCCAATACTTGTGTGTCGTTATGAGCTGTAGTTAGTGACGGTCAAAATGAAGTCGCTTCTTGTTTACGATGTTGAGATGAGTGCTCGACAAATATTAACCAAATAATCGTTTATTGGTTGTGATGAATATTAATTATTCGAGAAATTTCCAGTTGAATAGTCACGTCACGATGTCAAAAATGTTTTCAGACGGCAACTTAAATTCATTGTGAATCAGACATGAACTTGTTTGTTATATTTTATATAAAACACTGAAAAATTGTTTAATATTTAGACGGAAATCATCAAACCTCTAGAACCCTAAAAAAATATTTAATGTTAACATTTTCCAATAATCAGGTATTTATATATAAATACATGATTATTGGAAAATGTAGAAATATATTTCTAATGTTGTCTTTGAATACTGTATTATAATTAAGTGCTGTCTTCATTATAATAAACTAAATTAATGAATTTGTAATATAGATAGCCACATATTATAATTGTTTGTGAGTAATTTGTATTTACTTAAAGACATTCGTGTGAAACTGATCTACCAAAGGATAGAAAAATCAACTACGTTTTTTTTGAAAATTATGACACATGCCCCCAAATTGTCAAAAGTAGTTTACTTACATTTTTAGATATAATTAAGCATTTTTGTTAAAAAGAAAATTTTTCTTATTTATTTCGTAATCTGGATTTTTATAAACCTTCATGAGTATTATGATATCTAATGTCAGAATTTATAAAACTGTTCCATGTATCTGATACAAATTTACAAAAATTAAAAAAGAATTTTAAAAATATTATCTCAAAACTAATAAATATTATTTTTCTATTAGATAAAATAATTACAATTTTTAAAAATAAAATATGAGTCAATCAGTCATAAGTCTTGTATCGTCTCTTGTCTAAAAATCAATATTTTTCAATTGATCTGACTTTATCTCTTGTTGAACTTGTGCAGATTCTAAAATCCTTAGTTTTTTATAAATTGTGCTTCCAACATTGTAAACCAGCGTTAAATACAAATATTTAATATTGGTTATCGGTAAAACATTCAGTGCAGTCAATTCTTAAGAAATAGCTCAATACGTCGTGATAAATAAATATGATTGACACATGACACTTAGTTTACCGGTAGTTAAATCTACACTTGAGTAGATAATAGAACGTATTACAATGTTAAGTCATTTGAGACTAATTTACACATGTCATTAAAAAGCTAATTTTTTTATCACTTTAAAAGTATATTGGTTATTTCATCATTAAAATTAATAACATATAATAGCTAATTAATACAATAAAATAATATTTACATTGAAATATTTTATAACATTTGAAATTTTATATATTTTCTCCACTTTTACATAATATAAGTAGTGAAATGTATATATTAGCATGAATAGATAATATTTAATATATGGCTTACGTCGTAGAAGATTGAAGGAGACATGTAGTGAAGGCAGTCAAGTTATTAAAATAAAATCGAGTTATTAAACGCTTGTAATACTGTAATATTGTACGATGTGAATGCAGAGACTCTTATCTATAAGAATTTAATAATGTAATAACAAAGTATCAGTTTTAGTCGTCGAATCTGACGTGTGTAGAAAAAAATACAAGTGCATTTTTTATATATTGATAGCTAAATAACAACGCTATAAGATTATGACTCATTACCATAAAAAGCGACAGTGATATTATAACCTTTAAACACTTCTACACAAACATTGATGAATTGGTGCAATATGAATTTATTTTATTTTTAAAAACTGAGACGATACTGCAAAAAGGTATATTTTATTCAACAAAAAATATTTTGGAAAATTATTTTTTATGAATCCTTGACCTAAATTATGTTAATAAATATATTGAAAATAGAAAGATTCTGTTATAAATGTTGAAAATGTTAATGTTAAAATAAAATGTATAATACTACACTTGGTTAATATTTAATTAGGTATTAATTATTAATGTAGTAATAAATTTTTTCATATAAAATTATTTGATATAATTTATTACACCCACATTAAAAAAATGTAAGTAATAAGTTATTAAAAAATAGGTTTTTACTAAAACTCTTTTGGGACGATTTCTTTCAACGATACGTGTCAAATGATCAGATATTGAATTTAGTTGTAGACGTTATCCTCAAAAGTTGAAAAATTTTACCTCGTTAACTGATATTGAGAGAAATCCTACAAAAAGTTACCATTTTTAAAATTAGTAAGTTAGACATTTTTTAAACTTTTTTTTCTTACAATTGTCATAATTTCTGAATAATGAATGTTGAAACTATGTATCGTCCCCACTGTACTGAGTTTTTAAAGTTTATTTTTTTACGATTTTGTCAATGCAGACATTTTTGGGAGGCTTTCAAAACGAAGCTATCGATTAAAGAATAAAATACTTCAGGGAAGTGCATTGTGTGGAATAATAACACGCGGTAGTATAACATGTTATGTTATTTAATAGCTGTACCACCCTGACATAAAATAAAATATATATGATAGGCAGCGATTTGTGTAAGTTATAAAAAACTTGGAGGGTGAAGCATGGCGTTTTGTGGTTGACTTTGGTTTTAAAAGCTCGATTAGACAGCACTCGTACATGGTAGTTGATGTTACTGTAAAAGTAGTGTAGACTTTATATGCATTTCGTGACCGCCTTTTTTCAATTTCTATTAATTTATTAGACTCTATTGCTGAAAAAATGACGAGAAATACATCGAAGAAGGGTTTGGTTAAATTAAACGGAAAATTTAGTATTGATTGAAAGTTATACTTGACAATTTCAGTTGTTGGTTGTGCTTAGGATAGTCGAAAAGTACCTCGGCGTCATATTTTTCTCGGTTAATTCATTAAAAAACTTTTGAGCACTCACAAACATCTGGACGAGGCGGTGGGTCTACTGATAAAATTAAAAAACAAAATTACATGGGCGCTTACAGTGGAATTTTCGTAGAAGTACACCCTCAAAGGTGAAAGCAATGCTTGTTAAACAATATAATTATCAAACGTTTGTTTTGTCTGTATTTGCCTTTTAACTCTGAACACCTTTTTTTTGTATAATAATCATGGTTTTATTATCATGAAGACTATAAACTTTCATTGCATTTTAGCAAGACAAGTTAAATGATTCTAAGTTAAAATAAAAAGAAAATATCAAAAGTTGCTATGAAATTTAGATAAAAAATAATATAGTTAAATGTGCAATACTAAATAATTTTTATTTTTTGTTACAAAATACTGTTATCGTTTATTAACGATTAAATATTGAATTCGTTTTTTAGTTATTTAACGTGTCGATTTGTTTAGTTTGTTTTCAAACTTTTATTTATACTTGTTTAGACGTATAGTCGATCGTTTCGTCCTTCGTTGTCAAACCCACACACATACACTCACACATTAGTTTTGAAACTATTCAGCTCCTTTCTGTCGTGACATTAATAGAATGAGGCATTTTAATACTGACAAATGTTTCTAAACGAATCGCTCAGTCAATTTACAGCTCTCGGTAATAACTTAAAGGATTGCTATGTATTGATTAATATATTAATGAAAGTGTTAATATAATAATACATTAGTTGACGTGTTGATTTAATAAAACTAATGTATTTAATTTATGTAAAAAATACTGTCTAAACTCTATTAATTAATCCAATTAATTTTTCTTGATAATGTCGTGAGTTTGCTAATTATTTGTAAATCATTATGGAAAGGAAAAATAACATTATTATTATGCTAAAAAGATTTTGATTAGTTCTGCTTGATTAAGTTTCAAACACATGTAGTACATGTTCAACTTAATTATAAGAATTTTTTTCTATTTGGGCCAAAACAATGGTGTATAATGTTTTATTAAAATTATATTTTTAAATATTCTCTAACTAGACGGACAAATGTGTGGTGGTGTAAATGTGGTAAATATGGTCATTTACTTTAGGGCTCTAGTCTCTTTTCATTTATTCATGTAATAATTATTTGTGGATACTCTATATTTGTTTATAGAGTGTCAATTATTACTCTTAAATAAAATATAATCACTACACATTACTTTGTTATCAAGATCCAGTTGGTTGGCTGTCTATCGCGTTTCATGTTTTAGAACGCACAAAAAAGTACTTTATTAGAATCCGTGTTTAATATACACGGGTGTGTATAAAACTAATAAATATTATAACACAACCGGTGAGAGAGCCCGAAGCGGTACGTATTGGATCGTGCGGTATGCGTGTGTTTATGATGCAATAGGAATCATATACACACTCCGCATGCATTATGTATGCCATGCTAACTGAGAGTCTGTGGATTGTGATTTTTTTCCTACATCATCGTCGATCATGAGTTCATATAAATAACATTGTGTCAGTATACCCATCAGTATGTTATCCAAAGTATCTTGTGTATAAGCCGATTCTTTTACCTGAGTAGATTAAGTAGATCATTAAAAATTATATTTTAAATTCATTTAATAAAAAAAAAACCGTATTGAAATATTGTGCTATTCAATTGACCGTTAAAAATTCTAGGTATACAATAACCGTAACCACTTTTTATGTATGTAGAATTATTTTTTATTACGTTAGTCAATAGCAGTTTGATTTTGTATATTCTTAAATTTTAGTAAAACATACATTTTTGTCAGATTAAATTAGATTTTGTTAGATTCTATTTTTATTTGAATGATTTTATACGTTGTTATAAGAACACAACACGTTGTACATTACGTACGACAAAATCGTGCAAATAATTTAATATAACCTTGATCGTGAAATCAAACATTTTTTTCTATTCAAATGTTTTAATCAGTTCTATTGACGGAACAGATCGCTCCATGTGGCTCCATTCATTTGCATTATTTTCATCGAGTGTAAAAATACATAACTTGAATTAAAGTTACAAGTTTACTGCTGTGAGATGAGCGAGTTGAAATGAATTGAATAACAATCATTACATGTATTCACAAAATGTTTTAATTATTTTCTTCCAATAAACAAGACAATATTATGTATAATATATTATAATAATACGTGGCTATATTAATTATAATAATAATATTTGTAATGACAGTAAGTGTACAAAAAAACGAAAAAAGTAGAGAACCACTAACGATTTCTAAGCTGCAATGGTGTGGCCGACAATGAGCTTAAATAAATGTTTTCTCTAACATTATCAAAAGAGACGACGACACGATACAAAAATAGCAAAAATACACTTTTTAATTAATATGATTAAAATATACATTACAATTTGTGCACATATAGTAATATTAAAAATAACAAAAATATTAACATACTCTAAGACTAGACTTGTTTGACAAACAAAACAAAAAGAAAAAAAACGTATTCGTCGAGTTCTTTTAATATAAAATACCGTATTTTACCATAATACATTAATATATAAAATACATTTAAAACAGTCTTTTTTTCAACAGCTTAGAAATCGTTACTATGTATTATAATTTAACACACGATAACAACGCGAAAAACCTTTGCACGACTAGCAAGACGAACGATGTAAAACCTTACACACTTCTATTGTTTTGCTTAAAATGTTACTTATCGACCAAAATCCATCCGTGACCACTTGTAATCGTGCAATCTATCTTTCGCTTTAAATTATTACTTTTTTACATCAATCATACAAATATATATATTTACATGTTTTAAATTGTTATTATTAAAATGCGTTAATAATAGTTACAATTTTAAACCTATTTTTAAGAAAAAAAGTGAAATTTGTAGTTGGAGGAACTTGGGGTAGAGTAGGGGGAAGGTCTTAACATTTTAAGAATCACAAAAACGTCTCAACGAGTGCGGATGGTAAACCCGATAATCGGGCGAATTTTCATGTTGTAGAGATCTCTGATGGCCGTTTGGGTGGCTCAGGGTTTGGACGCCGTTATTGTATTTACAAATTTCGCCGGAAATGTACGAAAAACCAGTAACGCTAGTAGTTCCATCCGACGAGGAACCACCTCGGAACAATCGCCTGTCGGCGGCGGCCTGTTCGGCCGGCGTCGAGGCGAAAAGTTCTAGCTATAGTTCCGTCACTGGTATTGGTTTATCGTTACGGTGTGGTAACGTGTTCTGCTGGTGGTAGAATTGTTGTTGTTGTTGTAACTGTTGGTGGTATAAGTTTTGCTGTTGTTGGTGGTGATTGTGGTGGTGGTAAGGCTGCAGTGTGTGACCACCATGCAGCTGGTGAGGTGTTTGGTAAATGTGTTGATTAGCTTGCAAGTGTTGGTGTGATTGTAGGCCATGGTGGAGATGACGGTGATGTCGACGATCTCCGGTGGTACTTACACCACTGGCGAACGGTGGTCTATGTTGAGTGTTGTGATGAATAGTGGAATTCCTCACTATGTACTCTTCGTCCGAAAAAGTTTTTTGGTATTCTAGATCTTTACGGTTGACGGCTGTCTCTTTAGACCAGAAGGTTTTTTTCAACGAGTGATGCAGCCGCTTTCGGAAACGGTATGCCAGAAGCATTGCAACTGCTATGAAGGCAACTGTGCATCCAAAAACGGCACCTACGATGGCTTGTTGCTTGGTGTAAAACTTAGCACACGATAGGTCGTCGGAACCCAGATAATTGAGCGATTTGCCCTTGAGCGGCGCGGGACCGGCGCACAGCACTTGACTGGTGTTACGTCTGATCAAAAGTTCCTTGAGCCAAAGCACTGAGCACTCACATATTATCGGGTTTTCTGTTAGATCAATTTGTTGCAGTTCTTGCCAAGTGATCATTGATTCGGAAAACGATGTAAAAGCATTGTTGCGCATTATTAAATTTCTTAAGTTAGGTAGTCCGATAAAGGCACCATTCTCTACTGTTGACAATTGCTTGTTACTACTAAAATTGATAGTTTCCAAATTTAAATTATCAGTGAATAAACCTGTTTTTATAATAGAAAGTTGAGCTGCGCCGGAGATGTCTACTGATCGCAAATTTGCTAAACCTTTGAATGCATTTGGTTCGATCGCGGTGAAGTCGTTTTGTCCGATTGACAATTCTTCAAGACGATTAAGTTCAGAAAGTTGCCGGGTTGGTATAGCCGTTAAACGATTATCTGTAAGCACTAATCGCCGAAGAACGGTAAGACCTTTAAATGCATTGCTGCTTATATTAATCAGTGCTGCGCCGGTGAGATCTAAAACAGATAGGCGGCCAAGTCCAGAAAAACAGTCGTTGTCTAAAGTAGTAAAAGCATTTAGACCTATGCGCATTTCAGCTAGATTACCGAGAAATTTAAAAGCGGGTGTAGGTACTGCTCTGAGTTGATTATCGTCCAAATATAATACTCGTAGCTTGTTAAGGCCCTGAAAAGCAGCGGGGTCGATGCGAGAAATTCGATTCTCGCCCAAATCCAGTTCTTCTAGTTTAGTCAGAGCTGCAAATAGCCTGTCAGGTAAATCTTCCAGATAGTTTCCACGTAAATTTAATATAGTGAGTGAGACAAGCCCAATAAAAGTCTTATTATTGATGGATGAGATTTTGTTATGGTTTAGGTGGAGTTCAATGAGCTTCTCTTGAGCTTCGAAACCCTTGTTGGGTATGTTCACCAGATGATTGTGCGATATGTCTACGTACTGTAGTGCTCCATAAAATTGGAACGAGGCGTCCACAATTTTTATTCGATTATGCATTAACACCAGACGCTGAATGGATGGGTTTAACGTGATAGGGATGACATCTAGATTGACCTCTTTGCAGTAAACTACCAGCGTATCATCGTCGCATGAGCAGTTAGATGGACAATGAGCGTTAATAACTACTACCACCGCCATTACAGCGGTAGCTACCCATACCGCAGTTGTAGTTTTAAACATGATCGTTGTTAAGATTCACGGGTAGCTTGCGTTAGTTGTCACACGTCTGAAAAAAAAAAAATCGTCATTTCTCAATTTGGGATATTCTACTATGATAATAATTACTGTTAAAATTCAAATCTATTATTATTATATTCAGACAAGATTATTATCTAAAACGATCATTACAGTTAAATGTCTTGCGTAAGTTTGTTTCATTTCATAAGCTAAAAAGTAATCGAAGCTTATATTAATTTTATTTTATCTATTTAAAAAATATAGCTTACCCTATCGTTTTTAAATAATTAATAATATTATCAAAACCATAAGAAGCGCGTGCAGATTATTTTGTAGTTCAATTGTATAGGTAAGTCAACATTAAGGTCTATTTATATAATGTCTCAAAGTCTCTGGACACGTTTGTGGCTATGTAAGGTTATTAGCAAAGTTGTACATAAAATCAATCAACGTTTGTTTGCTCACGAGCTTATAAATTGTTTGAAAATAAAAATTAGATTGATCCATTCTCTGAAAGGTCGCGATAACGTTTATTATAATGTATAAAAATCATTACACACTGTAGCATTAATAAATCTATGGGTGTTGAATAGATGTTCTGTTAATCTATAAAAATCTTATCTCCGGTTTTTTATTGCGCTAACCTCTTTCAACGATAACTGTGCGCGCCGGTAGAGTTTATATCGATAAAGTAATATTTCAATAACACTAACATCTTTTGTGTATGGATAAATTTGAATTGAAGCCCTGATACATGTGACATTATTTCCGCTAAAATGTACACCGATGTGTATTTTAAATGAAGGAGATGGAAAATTTATTGAATTATATCCGAATGCTTTGACTGTACTTACCCTCACGAAGGGTCATAACCAATGTAGGATTTAGCAGAAAGGGAAAAAAGAAACATTTTCCGAAGAGATTTCAACCGACACCATCCGCTAGTCTATGGTTAGGTGCAGTGTGTATATAGAAAAAATACGATCACGATCAGATGATTGATGAGCACAACAGAGCTGCGGTTTATGATTAAGTGATGTACATAGAATGTTGTGTATGTGTATAATAATACACTCAAGCAAAAGACTATTAAAACGATGTTTATTTTTTCTGTCATGTTCTGACTGAAAATGTTTTTAATGGGTTAAAACTCTAATAATGTTACACGAATCATTACAGTCGTCAGTATCACTGTCATAGTTATACTATGTAGAAATTTCAAGAGCTATCGATTGTAACTAAATTATTATTGTAAACACTTTTATGTGAAATCATAGTTTAATTAAAAAATCACTTGCGCTAAAAAATTGGTTAAACTTCGTGAAAAACAAAAACCCTTGTTTGTGTGTATATATGTGAACTAGTGTCGTCGATATAAGTGAAGATAATAACAATATAAGGAGAGCTGTTGTGGGATGGTAAACTGTGTACATAATAATAACGTTATAATATCGTAACATTCAGCTACATTATTATGTTATGTCGATGGAGGAGATGATGAAAATAATGTAAAAAAGCGGCTGTTGTAAAAAATGACGACAAGCGGCCGGGTATTTAAACGAGACGGCCGCATATTACTTGTATAATATTATTATTATATTTTTCCAACGCGCCCCGGCTTGGCGTTGACGAGCAATCATCGTTTTGAGATGAAGGAACTCACTGCCACAGCAGTGCCGAGAAAAAGAGGTTGATGAAACGAAGACACCAACTAGGGTTATATTTAAACGACCTGAGTGTATGCACAAAATAACCTTCAGCTAAGTGCAAGTATTCACGTGCGATGCGTTTACGCTTCATAAACTCGAGTAGTGTCGGCGTGTGTATAATATACACATTCGAATATAAAACAACTGGCATTAACACAAAGTACACAACGACGTGGGTGACTTTGCGCGATGGCGAAAAACTGTCACCGTCATTCTTTTATTTTTCACCCTTGCATTATGTTTTATTATATTCGCCCTGTTAATGTTTATAGGGACGCCGCAGACGGGGTGCCATTGGATGTTATTATTATGCTAAGTATTGTTATTATTAGTATTCCCAACGACGTCATTATCGATAGCGCGTACTGTCGGTGGTAATTGTAGGGAATACAATATTTTCCCGTTCGTCTTTTAGCAAGTCGAAATAACCAAAAGGCAATTACGCTTACAGAGCGGACATATGAAAGCAGCTGATCGCATGTGGTTACTCCAACCACATATTTAAAAAACCACGCACGGAGTGTGCGAGGTTTTTTAAATATGCCGCCAGTATTTCGCACACAGTTTGGAGAGTACAAATTTACCGGCCATACATTGTTGGCCCGACAGATGGAATCCGCGGCAGTCTACAATATGCGGTTCAGCCCATAAGTCAGTCCGCCGAAAGACGATAGGGGGGATGGGGTAGGAGAGGCGGACAAATGCGTGGGCGCGTATTTTATGTAAATGCATTGCCAACCACGTTCATTGCGAAATTCCGTTTTATTGGTACTCGAAAATTAGACGGCCAGTTTCGCGCGGCAGTGTATGTGTGAACTGTCGACCCCGGGGGACGTATTAAACAGAGTTGATTTACATGTTATATAAATGTTCAGTTAACGACTTGTTGTTTACATACAAACGCCACGATATCCTCACTGTCGAATAGACCGTAATCGAAAACCTAACGGCAGACGGTGTGCGGTGCAAAATCGGTTAAGCGCATTTGACCGTTGCGAATATTGTTTATTGGAAATTTCCAAATTCTAAACATTTCGATAAAAGACGGAAACGCCTACACACTGTTGTACAACCTTATACGCTTTCCTCCAGAGACGATATTTGCAGCGTTTTTTATATTGTGGTTATTATATTGCACAAACGCGTATTGGACCAATGGAATTTTATTTATATAAAGCCTTTGAAAGAAAGGCTAGACGGCACACAAAGCAGCGGCCACCGACACATAATAGCCGTCCGTATAGTGTACATTACGCTTATTGTGTGTACAGAGTATTTCTATTTACGATGCATTGAAATCGTGGAGCTCTAACGTCGCGCCGACATTCAATAAGCGCATGTTGGTGTGTTTTCGTTTATAAACACACACACTACGACGGTAATAGGCAAGTCGACTAATGGAAGGTCAATAATGAAGAATATCTACTTTGCCGGGGGGTGGGGAAATATTAATAAAAACCAACAACGAAATCGTTTATTTCACACGCGCTTCCCCGTTATTGTTAATTGGTATTATAATACATCGTGGAAATCGCGGTTTGTCAATAACTCATAATACAGTGCGCGTTGCTATTGTCTTTCTTTTGTTTTACATTGTCAGCCAGTGTACACAAACGAACCGTGGGACTGGGCGGAGAGACTAGTACCGTACCGCAATTAAGGAAGTCGACGTCCATAAACATTGCCCAAAAGCCTTAGACAGCAGACCCGAGATTTGAAATTCCGTTATCAAGATTCGTATGTCGTCGCCGTCGTCAGCCGGACGTGATAATTTATGCGCTATCTCCGAGCTGGCCAATTAAAATGGTGTGTTGTTTTTGGTTTTTTAATTAAGTGTTGATATGTTCACGAGTATAGTAGTCGTTTTCGATAAATTATTCGGAACGAGCAACGTGCTTCTGGCAATGACACAACGGTGTTGTTGATTAATAAAGACTTTGGTCTCTGTTGTTTGGTTTTGTATGCGTGTTCTCTGCTCTACATTAAATGGCGGCCGGTTCGGGTTGGTGCACTGAATTAAAACTTCGTTACATCGCTGGTGACGGATAAACAATTTTATTGTTTTCTCCTTGTCCATTCGATTGCTCGAAAATGATTTAATGTTCACGAGCTAATTACTAAGGCAAAATCGTAGGGAGTTGTACTCACTACTGTTATGTTCACCACCGTGTATTATATTTGCGTGTAACTGGCAGCGTAGGATTTGGCCAGCGGCCTGCCGTAATGGTTCTGAAACCGACGACAAAAAAAAAAAAAGTACACCTAATCTATAATTCATTACGGTTCTTCGCGTTATTAATTAGTTTAGTAACATAAATGCACTGTTTGCCAAAACAATAAAGTTTAAAAAAAAGTTACAGATGCTCAAACAAACAGTCGAGCATAACGCAGAACTTTTATTTTATTGCAACGCAGATAAACGAACGAGAAACAAAATGAGTTTTGAAAGGTAATACTAACAGCTTAGTAATTGGCCGATAAGAGTTATAAAACGTATATATTTTTTTGTTTTGTTTATTATGCAAGTTTTATCGGGGTAGAAAAAATAACGTGCCGAGACATTACCAAATTCAAATTACTTATTGATAAAGATTTATGCGCCTAGGTAAAAAACGATTACTGTACGTAGAAGTAAATCGCGTCCCAGTCGGTACCAGTTTACGATTTTTCACTAATCCTTGCCCGCCTATTGACTGACTGAAAAATTCAATAGTGTGTAAATCGAGAGCCAAACATATATGGTTATGTGTAGCTCGGGTTATTTTTATTTACTTGTCGTTCTTATTACCTTTTTTTTTTTATTTGTACTAAATTTTGCTTTATTAAGAATTACTTGTCTTTCAAATCTTGCTCGCGTTTTTGTTGCCGTTCAGTAATGTGAACTCCGACGACGGTATTTGGATTAACAGCCACCCCTCACGAATCCCTTCAGGAAATGCCTGGGACAACCCTCGAATTTTCCAAAAATTAAGACCAATAACGTTTGTTGTATTTTTCCTTTCGTACACACACACACACACACACACACACACACACGTGAACGACGTTTACCTTGTTTCAAACGTACTTCGAAGCCTCTTCCTAGTTGTTACCACACCCCAAAATCTTACTGTACGTTTCACATGGCAAGTCACACGTTGTTGTCGTAAAGACAACAATATTAGATTGTGCAATGCGAGCGCCGAACATGTGTTTGTGTAATATTATTTAATTTTTTACTGTTGTCGTCGCTTTGTGAAAGAGAATAGAATAAAAATACACCGCCCAAAAACATTTTACAACATCACCGTTATCCTTTTTTATTCTCCATTCGGTTTTTAGCGGCTGTATAATAAATTAATTAAAAAAAAAATCCAATGTGACGTCGGTAAATTTTAATCATGTACAGGCCACTGCACTTTTTTTTATTTTACATTTGACTTTTCACACAAACCAAAACTCGAGTTATTAGGTATACATTTTTTTGAATAAAAAAAAAAAAACATTACTTTTTATGGCGGTCGATAAAATAACGATATAGAGTAATAAATCAATAAACCAGCGCGTTCATCTTTTGATTAAATTAATTACTAACTTAAATGTTATTTTTTTTTCACCGTTCTGATTGAATAATACCGTTACTGGTCTAAGATAATGTATTATTTCTGTTATCTTTGTATAGTTATAGTATTATAATTATTGACTGAGTCATTCCGGGTAATAGTAATATACTTAATCAAGAAAAAATATTCAAGTTATATATTTCTTGCGTTATCGCAATGATGGTCGTGACGCTTTTTTAATTCCTCTATTATAGTAACATTAATCTGGATGGCCTCATTGGTAGCAATAACAGTAACGGTATTAATAATAATATTATTATTATGGCCGTGAAGATTATTTTTTAGAGGGACGAAACGAAATCCCATTGTCGTCGACGCGGATCGATCGGGCCGAACCGAGTTAAGCGAATAATTTATAAAGGGGAGATGAGTGTACCCGGCCATTAGTATTTCACGTTTATTTGCTCAAGTGTCCCGACGTTAGAACGATGGATTTAGTTTGGAATAAAAAGTAATATTAAAAGGGAAAAAAGGGATAAAAAATACGACACAACCGTATCATTACACCTAGTCGGCAAGTCGAAGGAACGCCGAAAGGAGTAGCTGCCGCAGAATAAATTAATAGTATCTTGTTTCTTTGTTTTATACACAGTGGTTGGTTCAATTGTCTCGTCGACTGGTCGTTTATGTGTTCATAAGATATTTCAGTTTATACTGTGTGATTAACGCTATGTAATAAAATAATGATAATAGCTTTGTTGACGAGCAGCGTGATGCTCCTGTACTACCGTTGTACTTTTATCTCGTGTATTGATTTACAACCCACTGAACGATAATATTTTGTACTAGATGTCATCATAAACTAAATAGTCGTTAAACTAAGTAGGCACACAAAATGTAACGCGATCATTGTGGGCTTTAAGTTATATGCAGTGTACAGTCAAAAGGTTTAAATGCAATGGCCTTTATTGGGTGGACTTTTGATATTATAGCGGCCGGCGTTCGCTTCTGTATTTTCCTTTTATCCGAATAAAGTAATCAACTTAAAAATAACTTGTTTGTTTGGACAGAACAAATCAACAAAAATATCGTGGCCGTGATGAGATAAAATGTTATGTTTGCGCGCATCAAGAAAATATTCCCTCGAGGTCACGACAAACAAACGTCAGAACGATTGTTTCTTCGGTATACACACTATGTCTGTTTAAATCAATCAAAGGCTAGGAAACGTAATTTTTTTTTTACCTACAAGTCCAACATAAAAAGAGAAGTATTTTCATCCGTCTGCTGTTTGGTCGGAAAACAATCGGTTTATTATTCACGAGTCGTATGGGCCAAACAAATTTACAGGCAACATAAACGTCGACTGTATAGATTGTCTAACACTGTTTGAACAGTGTTGTAAGTTTCTTTTTACGTGCAAACATACCCGGGGAGTGCAAACAATCGTTTTCAATCAACGTAAGCCAAAGAGCTAAATGATTCATAATCCGCCGCAACGGTTTAATTAATCGACTTGGCACGCGCCGTGACTGTTATTGGGAAAACGCTGTCTAACAACTCCTAACAGTGTATTTACCCTCAATATAGGCGTACACTTTAATCATTACGGGAAGTTGTGGTGATGTGCTTGTGTCAGATGTGCACACAGGGGAGAAGCGGATTGCCACGGAAAGGATCCCTACAAGAGAAAATTTGGGCGTCCCTCAAAACCAGTGACGGATAAAGGTGGTGTTTGGCACGGGCCCAATGCAGTTTATACGGAGCATAGATTTCCCCGTTTGTAATTTTATTTTATACGCTAGTACGGTCGTGTACAAAGCGCGAACGGATCCTATTCCATTGGCCGGCGGGATTTGGACCGAAAAACCGCAAATCGTTCAAACTAACCCAAAAATGGGTTTGTCGCCGACACCGCCCGGATCTGGCGCTATAACGAAAATAATTATTTCAGAAAAGCAGACTGTCAATGTTACTAAATGTTTCACGTACACGGTACCCTGTTCATGTGTTATCACCCGTAACCCGCACCGTTGAACACAATTATTTCGGTTGTAGGGGTGCAAAAGAAATAAAAATTCAAAGTCAGAGAGCGCTCGGCGGCTGTGCGCGGAGCTATCGATTTACAACAAAAAACCTTTTAACCCGTTTCTACTAACGTCGCAGAAGCCTTGTAGTGTTCCATACATATTTATTTATTTATTGCATAGAAAAACTATTGGGAAATATAATTTTTTCCCTCAAAGTACATAGATTATTTTTCCTCTTACACTTCCGAGTTTCCTTCTTCTTCAAACGCTATCACTTCCCCGAAACGTCAACTACTACCACTGCTAACCCGCCCGAACACTTCGTTAGGTGATCGTTTTCCATGAACAATTTTATGCTTTATAACAGGGAAAAAATAACACTGCGAATACGCTTACGGTGTGCATTGTAAAATATTCATTATTTACATTGTATGGAGTACAGTTGATACATTTATGCGTGCGCGTGTAATATATAGGCGTCGTTATTACGCCACGTTATCAGGTATGTTCCTATTCCCATAGTGTCGTTGCTTAGACCGTGTTTGTACACATATCTAAAATATATCGCACACACGGACGTGTGAGTTGGTGGTGTGTGCGTAAAGAATCGAGGGGCGGGATGCGGGTGACAGAGGGAAGGCGTGACTGGATTCACGTAAACGGCAACTCGGAATCGCGGTTAATGCCAAGGATCGTTTCTGGTCCTTTTCTCTCTCCGGCCGTTTAATATTTCCCGTGTATTTCATTCGCTTCTTTGCTCGGTCTGCCTACCGCGTATATTAGTACACCTCTGGTCGGTCAGTCCGTCTCTCTTTCTCTCTCCCGTAACGTCACAAACGGCGACAACGGCAACCATAACCGGCCCGAATGACGGCAGCTGCATTATTAAAGAGCCGCGCAGGGTAGTCCCACGCCGACACGTGTATGTTTAAATATTATATCTTACACGGTGCACATCAAACATTGTGAGGTATTATTATTATTGCTGTAATTTTAATCAAATGTAACTTTCTATGTTGTCAGGTCACGTTTTGCGTTATAGGCTCGCTATTTTTTTCTAAAAGTTTTTTGTTCTTAATTTTTTTACGATAAAAATAGTCACACACATTGCTTTGATAAAGTATTTTACCAATCGCAAGTTCCTGGACACAAAAAGGCGACGTGTTTTCTTTGTCATGACGTTTCTCAAACTACTACACAGTTAACTTTGTCCTTTCGGCATATAATAATAGGTTGCGTTATGATGGTTTTAAAAAATCGTCATATAAATATGTCTTTAAAAGTTTGTTACTCAATTGTAAAACAGTTGGCAGTGGTAATAATTTATAACAAAAATAGAATTAAATAAATTATTTCGAATAAAGCGTCTAATCTATTCTCAAAAACGATACCGTCGTTTTGTCTAGTGTTCGATTTTTCTCGGCATACAATAAACCTTTTAATCATTGATTATACATATTTGATACTAAAAAACTCGGAACCCCTCGCGCGACTCTTTAATTTTCTGGGCGGTGAAACATACAAATCGCTTCTTTCATTATCCGCCTCTCTCGCATCATTACAGGCACATTTATTTTTATACATTTACATTGTTTAATATCTGCAGCGACAATCGCAGCAGTTGTACTTGGAAAAAAAATGTTAATAAATAATAACGAACTTATTCACGTTTCTTATCGGTATCCAACGTTCAAAGACATTGCCGCACAAACGATTACATGTATCATACATTATTATCTGTTTGAATTCTTATTGTTTTGCTGTGACATCAGTTTATCATGGTATAGTAATACATATAACTAGTAAAGATAATCCGCAAGTAGAAAATAAACATTTGCAGTATATTGTATAATACACTGAATTCCTATTCGATTTTAACCGTACTTGGACGGCAATAAAATTTCTGATTAGCTGAAAATTGCATTTAACTGACTTTTAGAATAATTATAGTTATTTGTTTAAATTGTCTACTGGTTGAAAACAGTAAGTTTGTACAAAAAACAAAAAAGTATTGAGATTTTAAAATCGTTTGGTTTACGTTGGAATTAAAAAAAAGCTCTTGGTCCGTTATCTTTCTCAGATATACACTTTATCGCGCCTCTACATTCAAGTGTTTCACAGTTGTAGTACGTGTCAAGCAGTTTTTTTATCTTAGTTCTTTCTTGTTTTTTTTTAACGTTTTGTAAATTTCATTTTAGTTGGAGACTGACAGGGAAACAACTGTTTTTGGCAAAAGTGGCGTCGAGCAAAAATCAAGAAAAATACGAAACTATATAACAATCCAGTGAGCATAAAGTCCGGAACGTTTTGAAAAACACTTGGACACTCACCAAATGTTCGATGAGATCGTTAAAAACTATTTTTTTTTTTTTGCTTCGTGTCCAATTTAACACCTTTAAATCCCCCATAGGTCGCTTCATTTTTTTACAAACGTGAAGTCGCTGTTGAAATTAGATTCGAATCTTTCTTGAAATCAATCATAAAATTTAATACACTGATTACCCATCAAAAATATTTCACAAAACGTAGACAGCAGCTGTATCATGGTTATTATTATTTTTTATACCGTGAAGGTCCATCATTGTTATATTGTTATTTTATTTTTGTTAAATATTAGTTTTATTATTATTGTTGTTGTTGGACAAGAACACTTTAAGGGTAAACATAACATTTTGTCAATATCTACTACGACCGATCCATAAATGTCTCCAGCGAAACAAACAAAAATACATCAGAGATTGTAAAAACGTCCAAGGTAAACACTCTGGAAGACGACCGGGGGATAACGTATAAAAACTCGAGAGCATCCGTTAAGAACGTTTAAGTGGGCCGTAGACGTCTTCAAAACATTAAAAGAGGGCAAACGGAACGAAGGACCTTTTTAATTTTTCAACTCTTCCATTTTGATCTTGTTGCCTTCCCCACTCGGTTTGTTATATTTGCCTTCCGAGTAGTCTTTTTACACAATTTAAAGAACAAGACGGTCGCTTTCATATTTTTGTAATCTTTGCATTGCTCAGATTTAGCCAAGTTAAACTTTATAAGCTTTTCACTAACACCGGTAATACGACAATGTTGTTAGTGATCTCCCTTATCCGACAGCAATGGATTATTTTAATAAATGTAATTTATATTGCTTAACAGTTGAGAAGCCATTCGTCATAAGTCGCGTTTTTAATTTTTCCAAAAAATCCATACCTATTTTTATATTTTTAATTAACGTTGTACCGCTGAAGTTTTTATTTCATTATTTCGCAAGCTTCGCTGAATAAAAATCAATTTGAATTAAAAACAAACAATTTTCTATTAAATATTGTCGATGATAAACAAAATGCGCCTTTCACTGAGTGTTATTTTTCATTTTTTCAATGTGTATAATTGTTTACAATTTACTGGAAAATAATTGTTTTTATTCTTACAGAAATTCACGAGGTAATCAATAATCTTAGAGATTAATGACAATAAGAAAACCTTAAAATGACAAAAGTTCATTCTTCACATCGGTAATAATGACTTTGTTTGCTCAATATCCATTGACACCTTTATATCAGTTTGATATATTCAATTTATGTCTATTTTCAAACTTCAATTTATGTACTTAAATGTGCCTTATAGCAATAGGGTAAAGATGGTAGTATATAAATGAATGTTATTTTGATTTCAGGGAACAATACATTTGTAACGGTTTAAATTGTAAACTATGTTTAACGTGAGTGTTGTTTCAAAATATGATATCAACATAAAATATCCATCATCTAGATATTTTTTTATATTAGTTTTTGATCTACTAATACGTGTGTGAGCTGTCAAACAATCTATGGGATGAAATCATTCGTTTATGTGGAACATTCTTCCGGCGTAGTTCTTTTTGTGCGGTCTATGAAATATCGTGTTAATGAAACTGCCGTGAACAACGATTATTGTGTTCGAACAAAATAGATGGAAAGACGCAGTGTTGAGGTACGAATACTTTTTGCACATAATTACTTTCAACAAATCATATATTTGTCTATTGTTTGATGTCTTCAATGAATCTGTCTTTGTCTGGTGGTTAGCAATGGGTCGGTCCGGTTCGACATTGAGATGCAAATTAGAAATTTCCGATCAAAAGCAATTTCTTTAACAGTCTCATAATGTTACTTCGGGCTGATCCGTTATAAATTACAGTGTAGGACTTAAATGGTATTCATAGCTCCTTTTCGTCCCTAATTTATAAACTAGACCTTTTTGTCTAAGAATACGGACCAACACATAAGGTAAATTCAATTAACTGCGGTACAACGAACTCAACATGTAATTAGACAGCTAGGATGTAATTATAAAATCAATAAGGTTTCGCGATCAGACTCGACGGTCAGTCGTTTTGAAGACGTCATGTTTTTTAAGCGCTTTGCCGACACTTTCATCAATAGCTATAGGAGTCCAACGTGTAGATGATATGTAACCGTGGCATAGTACGCGATGTGGGCACTTAGGGGGTGGGTGCATACGAGTAGTTTACCGGTACATCACACCACCCGAGTTGTGTGCGACCGTATCATTACGGTAATAAGTGTCATAACAGACCATCGGAAATCGTCGGGGACACATAATGATTTGTGCCGTTTGCGTGTGTACAAGACTCCCGTGACTCAAGTCCGACATTATGCACAAGTACGCGCGTAATCACAGGGCCGGAGCGCCAAAAGTTTTGGATCGATAACGTGAAGCTCAAGATGTCTCCTACTGTAGGGGTGCGGTCGACTGTCCAAAGACCAAAGTCCGCGGTAACTGACCGGCGATGATATTACAACCCATTACGATTTCGACGCAAAACCGGACAATACAAAAACGAGATAATACTCGTCCGAAATTATTGCTCGGCTGGCGCCATGACAGTACACATCAGATGACACGTGATTGTGCATTTCCTGTGCGGATGGCGTTTTCTATGGAAACAAAAGACTTTTTAAAACCGTCTTCTAAGATCACCAGCGATGCGTAAATGAGACTTGTCGTACGATGACTTACGGCCGAGTGGAGTAAATACATAACGTGTGTTTATAAGTTCATATTGTTTCCGGAATCGTAAACAAAAGTCGACGGACAATTGACATGCGATCGACGCTAAAACTTTATCATGGCCGCTAAATTAATCGACGATAAGTTTTTATTAACACTGGAAATATAAAGCTTGCTGACAGTTTAATTTACAGAAATGGTCGTTTGGACAGAAACGGAATTTCAGCGACAATCGGAACTAAACGGTTGTCCTGCGTCTTATTTTTATGAGCCTTAGCGTGGAAATAAAATTTATTTTTTATTTTCGGCGTTTGCTGATCTTTTTGTTTTTCTTCGGGGTTGTCGTTTTTAACAGTTATGCGGTTGAGCTTTTAACGACATACCGATACGATACAGTCGTGCCGGTATCAGTGCCGTACATCGTGAGCTCTCTCTCTCTCTCTGTTTATCCGCGACCCACATAATGCCATTATAAAACGAGATTTTTCGATTTATACATTTCATTTTCTGACGGGGATTATTGGCGTCCGGGTAGACTGAGCTGAGAATAACACAGAAGATATATTGCACGCCGATATAAGTCGGATAAATGGATAGATAGACACGGACTATATTTAACGTTTATTTGCTCATATCGCACTGGGTGGAGTGTTGTACAGACGGTGTGGAAATTTGTGTGCGTTATATGTTATATATAACATATAACACATATATATGAATGTTAATTGAANTAGACACGGACTATATTTAACGTTTATTTGCTCATATCGCACTGGGTGGAGTGTTGTACAGACGGTGTGGAAATTTGTGTGCGCGCGCGTTACGCAAATGACGTGTAACGATATTTAAGGATGGTGAGATTTTATTTGTTGTTCGTTTTTCGGTCGAGGTACGTGTGATTGTTTTTTTTTGTGCTNAATGACGTGTAACGATATTTAAGGATGGTGAGATTTTATTTGTTGTTCGTTTTTCGGTCGAGGTACGTGTGATTGTTTTTTTTGTGCGTGTCCGTCAAACGAGCTGGTAATTTTGTTTTTTAGTCAAGCCGTTCCGCCAAATTACTACGGCCGCAGAAAATACGCCGATGTTGTGAGTCGACGGGAAGAACACCCATGACGATAGCCGCACCGATTACATACGATTCTGTGGTCGTCTTCATGTGGTCCTACGAAGCGGTAGCGACTCGGAAGATGCAAATGTACCCCACGGAGAATCGATAGGCGCTTCACGGCGGTAATGATGGGCTTGCCGGTGAAATACACTAGTCATTACAACTTAATAATACAAACGTACGGCGCGGCGATAAGGCCTGCGGGTATGCCGTATTAACTTATTATTCAATATAGACTCGTTGTATCTGATCAAGTGCGAATTTTCAACTATTTTTCGAGTTATCATGGTTTCGTTTCCTTATAGATAAATCAATCAGATCTTCGTTACTCACGAACAAATGGTGAGCGTTGTCGAAATCCCGTATTGCTTAAATACAGTCTGGCCGTGACACAGTCGCCGCGCGGTACGGCCAGTGTCGCATTTTACGATAAGTTAGCAGAAATTAAACGAGCCGACTGCGTAATATTGTAATTACCAGTAAAAAAACTACACGACCAGAAGGTTTTATGAGTTATTAAACCGCACATTAGATTTTATGCAGCTGATATGAGTTGTTTCGGCATTTTTTTTTTTTTTTTAAGACCCAAGCGTACACCCTGTCGGTGGCCTTGCCAGTTTAATAGTCACCGGTCGCGTCTGTGCACAGTAACATTGTCATGAAAAAGTAAACGAAGTAAAATGGACATTACAATAGCATTGTTTCGGTTGGTACGACCGGACGAAGAGAAATTAACAGAATAATAAAATTTAAACGAGTCAACGACGGCCGAGCTAAACGTTATATTTTATTCATTGTGTTCTGTTTTGCAAGTTTTCGTGGCTCTGCCCGTTAAAAGACAGGTAAGGCATTTCAAGCACACAATCCCTGGTCCCAGTCATGATGTTATTGTGTTAACGTAGGTATGTCTTTGTGTACAGCAATCGGATGGACAAAGAAGTCGTATAGTGTTAAAAAGTGTAACTGCGTCGGCGACGGCCAAGTTGAAACAAACGGCATTCATTGTTCAGGCACATGATTTCTTCTAAAATCTTTTATACGCCGCCAAACGATTGCAATAATAATAATAAAACGGAATAGACCAACATACCTACACCAAACGTGTTTATGTGTTTGCAATAACTAATAAGGCGGCACTGTTAATGTGCACGCAGATAAAATCTTATCGTCTGCGGGCACGGGGATCACAATCAACACATTTACGAAATTAAAGCGATATATCAATAATAATAATAATAACAACAACAGTAATAGCGGTTATAATTAATTATATTGTTTGATACATTCAATCCCAATTGATTAACGACTCCGACCCGTATCGTTGCAACAGACGATTACGATCTTCGCGGCACACAAACAAACACACAACAGCCGAACAACATATTAACAATAATAACGATATTAACAGTGTACGTGTCTGCATTATACAGGTATACATCATATACGAGCGATTCGGGCGAATGCCATTTGGATAGAAACAGCTGCTGCGGAATCGCCAATACCTAAGGTGGTCAATTATTATATTATTACTATTCTTCGGTTTTGCGGATATCGGTAAATAATATTTATAAAACGTCGCCGTATTTGTTAACAATAAAAATGTACAAGAAAAAAGCAAAGAACGTTTCTTAAATTTCATATAAAAACCGCTTTCTTATCGTTGCCATGGCGGTTTTTATTATATTGGACTAAAAGATGGGCACGTACAATGGTCTGAAAATTGAAAACTCATCTTCAGATAATATACGTGTAATTAATATTATACATTCTTAAATTACAGGCGTTGCTTACAAACTGTAAAAACAATAATTGTCTGTAAAGGTTTTTCATGACTCAGGGGCAAATGTTACATTTCGAAGACAATATTGACATTAGTTATTGTTGTTTGGAAAATCGATTATTCGACAATAAAGTTTTTAATGGACAATTACACAATGCCATGAAAAAGTTTCTAACCGTTACATTAGCAGTTGAAACATGCAATGCGGTCAAAAATATGTTTTTTTGAAAATAAAAATTAGTCTTCGACAATTTAAAGGACGTTAATGCGCCGAATGACCGATTTCCTAGTGCTAAATCATCTGCAAGTGTTCACTCGGTCATTTTAATCATTAACAAAGAACGTGAGGGGTGAAATTTTGCTCTTTTTTCTCATGCTGACTTTTTGATGGATGATAGTCGCTGTGACGGATTTTTGTCGAGAAAAAAATAGTCTGTACAATGAAGCACCGGACGAAGGTCATTTTGCCAGCGGACTGCTAACAATAATAATAATAATAACGTGGCCTGTGGCATAAAAGAAAAAAAGAAAACACCCTTTCAATAACGATAATAAAAATTGTATAAACGGAAAACAATAGTGTATAATCGTTGGAGTTTGTATTTATCACTGCAACGGGTACCCGTTCGACCTTTTGGGTGGTAAAATACAAAGTTACACAAATTTACCGTACATTAAAATGTGTTGAAAGCGTTCAATTACACCGAAGTCATCTCGATCCGATAATTGTGACCGCGTTTTAACAAGTTAACGGTAATTACTGTCGACGTTGAAAAAAATAACACGTAAAGTTTACACTGTAATTGTGTTATCTGCACAGGTATTCGATTACAACGCCACTAAAACAATATCAGTAATTAGTGTAATTCTTTATCCGCTACTTGGCGGACCTATCACTCATTTATAATGTAAATGAGTAACTGATACGCCAGTGTATTAAAATGGCGCATCGAGCAATTTTTCATTGCACATTATATACATACTAATATAATAGATAAATAGTTTCTATTATGTGACTATTTTGTATTTTCCTTGAAATATTTATCTTATGTTCGCCCCAATTTTAAAGGAATTCTCGGGTTCCGTCATAGTGTGTCTTGTACAGGTCTCCCGAGGGCTTTCGATGAAATACCTCAAAGAAAACATTTCAGAAGCCTTTTAATCTATAAAAGAGACTTAGTACAATACATACACAAGCGCGTGACGTTCCATGAAATTTTAATTTTTTTAATACGCCACGCGGTTTAGGTAATAATAATAATAATTATGCACACACACACACATCATACTACACCCAAGTGGCGTGCACATTTATGCAATCGATTTTCAACATCGACTAAGTCAGACAATTATTCCATTTTTTTGTCTACGCTAGCATATAAAAAACACCACATAAGTATGCAAGACAATTTAAATTCGAAAAGTCGATATAAGCGCGCAACGGCCATAATTATTACATTGTTGTGTACACACACAACGAGCTTTTTTTCCTGTTCAAATATTAACACAGTTCCTACGATGTACAATGCACCTGCGGTTTTGCCAATATGATAAATGTTTATTTTGTAAAATAATAGGTGTATCACATATCAACACTAGAGCGTTATCAACTGTTGCCGTAAGCTCTTGCACACCACTCCAGCAAAGACCATTTAGTCGGTTCTCGATTATACTTAAGATATTAAACCGTTTCGCTTCCGTCGCAATCACCGTTATGTTGCTATGATTAGGTAGGTTTTTTTTTTTTTTTTTAAGTGCTCGGACGCCGTCCGGCCGGCCGATCACGATTGTAATAACGTTAATTAACTGCTGTGCGCCGTCGTTCGATTAAAATTATTATTAAAACCCAACAGAGCGCGGGAGATCGTAATTAATTTCCAAGGATTTCTATTTGCAAACTATGCGCTTCTACTTGCATCGCGGAGTTATTCGACAAAGTTGTACACGCTGCCGGAAAGCGATTTCCTGTAAAAAATGCAGTGACCCGGTAGACGTTTAAAATAGGGCCGGAGTTCGGTATTTGTTTGTTCGGACGCACATTGTCTGGAAGCTCGTCGAGGACTCGGTCAAACACACGACCAGATTTTTCATTAAAAGCACCAAACCAATCGACTCGTGTGCGTCAAGTGTATACCGTTAGTGTTTTTATTGACTGCACCGCGGTGTTTTTTAATCGGTTACGCGTATTTTTATGCGATCGCCGTTTGGCGTTAATGAAAAAATAATGATAAAAACCGGATTCTTTCACAGAATCGGACGGTGGTAGCGGTTACTCAACGTGTAAAGCACATATTTTATAAAACGACATCACGACACATAAAAATTTATTAAAATGTGGCCGTGACGATGTAGGCAGCCGTCATGATGACTGTTGAGTTTTTTATTTTAACGCTCGAGACATATACATTTTTTTTCTTTTAAAATCTCAAAGGTGAAATAAAAACCGCACATAACACGCGGCGCAATTCCCACGGCAACCCGACGAAGTGTGTAAGCATTTTCCGAAGAATCGCCTGGCAGCGAATAAAAAAATGTATTACTTGTAGTCGCACACAACGAAAATGAAATATAAATCCAATAACGTGCATAAATCGAAACGGCAAAAAGTGGATTGTATAAAAAAACAACGATTGGAGACGCCCCAGGGACTATTGGCTGTGATCCGACGGCAATCTCGTCGGTAAAATCGTCACATTTATATTGCACCTCTGCGGCTGCCGCAGACAATCTGTCGCGCGATGCTATTTTCTCGGGTAGGTACGTCAAATTGATCATTTTACCGGTGGACAAAAATACGGATTGACAATTTTTTAGGTCTTATTTTTCTGGCAGATACGATATTTGAACGAGCCTTTATTTTTTATCGTCGCCGATTTAATTACGCTAAATAACAGTATAATTAAATTTCATCGAGCGATAGATTTAATATCACTTAAGTGCAGTCGATAAGAATTTAAAAACGAATTAAAACTTTCGGTATTTTTTCGTAACAATTGTTAAACTTTTTTCGTACGACTACTAGGTACGATTGTGACACAACAATTTTCTTTTTTTTTAAATTAGTTTGTCGCATATTTATTCTTTCAAATAATTTTTTATGAATAATTAATTTGACATTTAATTTAATTGGATTTCGCGGAAAAGAAGTTCAAAATTATATTTACGACTTTGATGATTTACTTAAGTTTTAAAATAAATTCCGAAAATAATAACAAGTACCGTTGGATCGACTGAAGGCGAACAAGTCCATTGCGAGCCCAACCAATTTTGGGCGATTGTTTTTTGGTTGAACTTTATCAAGAAATCCTTTTGAATCTGAATATCTGCGATTTTTTCACAACACAAGTGCAAATAGTTTAGAGTGACACTCAAAATGTAATAGTTGTAAAATGAAAATTAATTTATCGTTTTTTAACTGCTGAGAAAATCTAAAACATTTCGAAATAATTATTGCAAGCGATTACAGTACGAACTCGAAACGCAAACGGCGACGAATGAACGCACGCAGCGGTCGTGCAAAGGGGTCGACGGGCCGGGCTGAACTGGTCGAAACCGACGGTGAGTTTAAGCGGCTACGAGGAGATGCCAAGACTGTGTGTATAAGTGTAGCGCCAGCAGCAGCTGCCCGCCGCGACCTCACCGCCACCGTTGTCCATTCCCCCAAACACCCGTCGCTACCGACGATAGTCGCGCGCACATTGACGAATACAACGTCGCCGCCGCCGCCGCCGTTGTGTGTCGCTCCATAGAACGCCATGAGCCTTCCGCGTGTGCCGACGACGCTAATATATTATGTGATCCCCGACCGAGTCAGCAGCATCCGGCGGAGGACCGTTAAAACAGGGGGGCGGCGGGATAAGCCATCAAAACTCGAACCCCTCGAGAGAAACACCACCGCACGGTCCGCATCAGTTCCGCACACCTTGTCCCACTCGTATTAATGCGGACCTCCTATCATTATCGCTGTTCGCTACTGATTTCTTCTCAGAACAGAAACTACAAAGTTTTTAAAGTTTACTTCATTTTTTTTATTACCATTTCGGTAGTCTTCCTGTAAATATTTGTTGTTTTTTTTCTCGACCTATGCAAGTTCAATACCACTTAGAGTAATGAATTATTGCACCGATAAATAACAATTAAAATCAATGTACATACACGGGATTTTTCAACAGGGATGTCACAACATCTGTAATTTCATGGGTTATTTTTATATCAACTAAAAAATTGCTTCCTGATAAATTTAATCAAATCTAAATTAGTTAACCTATTAATTATTTTAAAGATAATAATATTCTAAAGGTGATTCATTTATCATGAACTACTCGATTAATCGAAAAATGAAAATGATATCGAACATTTTTTCAATCTTAAAGTATTTTTTATATACATGTCTTATACGTTAAAAGGACGGCAACCTTAAGTTTTCAAAAGACAACATATTTGATTAATTAGCTTAATTAATTATGATATAATTGAGTAAATGACCGTTCGATAACAATTTTTGGACCTGTATTTTAGAAGTTATTAACACGTTACAGCAATGACTGAAGGTGAGTCAACAGTGATGTTTTTTTAAATTAGTAATCACTTCTCGGTCGCACTTTTCCTCCCGCCAAGGTAAAATAATATCAATAACTTCTGAATTACCGGTCAAAAGTTGTTATCATTTAACTGAAAAATAAAGTTAACAACCTAGTAAGGGATGAGCATAAAAAATACATGATGATTGATAAATTAAGAAAAAAACAAGGCCTTACACCGGAATGATTTATTCGGGTTTTGAGTTTGGGATTTTTTTTTTTATTATGAGTCCAACATTCAGTAGTTTTTTTCTCTACTTGGAAAAATACGGGTTTGTTTTACCAATATTTTTATTTGGGTTTCGATTTTTTTATAATCGAGTGATATATCAAATTTTAAGTGCTATATTCAATCAAATTAAGTGTAACATACTGTCGCTTAAGTAAAGTAGTCAATCCACGTTCATTTTTACCAATATTTCAAATTATTTAACAAAATCTAAAACTCATAAAAATTTCCCAAAACGGTTTTGTACGACAGCTTTTAAGTGTACTTTTCAATAATTAAAAACAAAAAGTTTGCACACAATTTTGACTTTGAAAAACAAAGAGCAGAAAAATTAATTTTTTTTACTATATTTAATATATTATATTATTCGAAATAAGATTTGAAAAAAAAAACAATAAAATACTATCAAATAATATTTTTCAAGAGCTTTAAAACTAATTTTTTTTTTTTTGAAAAGTCCAAGTTGATAGATTTTATTGGAAAAAAACACATATATATTTATTAGGAAATTAAAAGTAATAATAGAAAAAAATATTTGGTTTTTGTATGTAAAATAAAAATAAAATGTTTTTTTGAAATTAAACATCCGCCATATATTATGTTAAACAACAATTTACATTTATTGGCAACATTAACTTAAATGTAATGTAATTAAGCTGAACTCAAATAACATTTCATAATAAGTAATGTAATGTTTACACACTAAATTCATCTCATCTAATTTATGTGTGGTATAAATAGATTTAACTTCAAATATGTTATAATTGTACTCTTTATAAATAGTTAAATAAATACCAAACAATGAGTAGTATGATAGAATTTTAAAGTAATCAAGAATGAAAATTCAGATTTTCTAAAATAAAAAATGTTATAATTAGTTTAAAAACATATTTTTTCTTATTTTACATAGAAAAACAATCATTTTTTTCTATTTCTAATGTTTATGGAGATACTGAATAAGAAAAATACGTGACAATTTTGACTTTTTAAAAAAAAACTTTTTTTTAAATCTCTTGAAGCATTATCTAATAGTATTTTAATGTTTTTCTTTTACCAAAACCGAGAATGGTTAGAAACAATTAAATTTGAAGAAAAAATTAAAAAATGTATTTTTTGTCCTTAAGTTTAGACGTTTTTCAAAGTCATGAAGGGTGTGATTTTTTTTTCTTAATTATTGAAAAATACACTTAAACAGCTTTTGTACAAAACCAATTTAAAAAAAAATGTATACTTTTTTAGCTTTGTGTAATAACTCTGAAATATAGATAAAAATGACGTGGGTTGTCAAGTTCCGTGAGCGGCATTGTATGTATAGACAATATTTTCACTTATAACATAATAATAACACATTAAACAAATAAGATGACTAATATTACCATTGAAAATAATTTTATTACTTAAAATAAATAAAAAAACACCAACATTCGACCTTATAAATAATTATTTTATATTAATGTTCTTTTGAACATAACATGTTTCTTACGACTGAAATACTTTTTAATATTATTGGTTTTAACGGCATTTGTAAGTCTGCACTTAAGATTTTAGGCCAGACAACGCCTTTTCCACGGGCATCTGAACATTTTTTGTTAGATCAATGATAAATTTATAAAGTGCTTTTATATTTATATTCAAATAATAATGTTTTAAATAATTCAAGTAAATTTTTATTCGAATAGTTATCTAGATGGAAATTTGTCCAAAACAGTTTTTATGTTTCAATCTACGAATTTAACTTGGGATTCTATGTCTATCAGTGTAATTCAAAGGGTTGGTTAATTTGCTTCTTTTTACAGAACTATCAGTGATTCATATTTATTCTTCAATGTTGTATAGACTTTTCCCGTGTTTTTTTTTAATATCAAAAAATTTGTAATAAAAATAATTTGAACATGTTTTTATTAATATCTATCATTTTCCAAGATTTTCAATGTTATTTTTATTAATACGGCTCAACACTGATAGAAATTTAGCACCAGCGTATGAATTCCAATGACCTTATCATTGTGAAATATACTTTTGGTCGAAATGGAAACAAAACTGTTATTGTACGTATATAAAATAACAGTTTTGTTATAATATATTTTTGCTAAGAAAAACCGCGAGTTTAAGTTATCTCTTTTTTTACCGCAATGTAATTCTTTTATTGTACGTGTAAATAGTGAGTGTTTATCGGCATGTTGCGAAAAAAAAGGAATAACTTAAAAAAAAAATGCCATGTGTTTCCCGTCTATTGCAAACAAACACCAGTCCAGTCTGCTTACTCCGGAAATGCTGTCGTTGAATAAAAGATTATAATGTCTCTTTTTTTTTTTTTACACAAAACGTTATATTTCCAACTTGCGTTCAAGGGAGTTTCTTTGATGCAATCTAACAACAATAATAGCCAAATTATCATTTTTTTCTTCGATTTTCATCCGGTACAATTTAGCATTTTATGCTAACAATAATGTCACATCATTGTTAGTATTGCGTAGTCGGAGGGGCAATTTTCACGTGTCCAGAAACGGACGTAAAATGTCCAGATTCGGTGGGTCGGTTGTTATTCGACCAGCAGCGCGTTATTTTGTTTTCACCGCAAAACGAATACCGACAAAGGAGCCGGCGAAGGGTCCTCCCCACCCTAATTAATAACGAGACCGAAATTAATATTATTATTTATTGGACCCGTGTGGTGTAGGCGTTACACACTGCCACAGTGGTATAATACACCGTGCACAAGAGAGGTGCACAGTCCAAAACCGCAGCAATGCTACGGCGAGACCCTAAAACGGCCGCTATCCAACCGATTCGGAGGACCATTACGCACGTCACGACAGCGGCGGTGCAACACAACATTAATAAACCATGTACAATAGAGTACACACATGCACTTACTCTGAAATCACAATTACATGGGTATTGGATATTATTGAGGGATTACATGCGTATAAAATAATATCCGAGCGTGTCTTCTACTCTTCTGTCTGGCGAGCCACAGCATATTTCTTTTGTCGGAATCATCACTTTTAACGAGCCAAGTGAACGCAGGTTAATTGTAAACCGTATTCAGATCATTCGGAAGTAGCTTCAAACGAGAATCTATTGAATCGCGGTGTAGATAGAAAAACCTTCTCGGAGTGGTTAAGACAAGGGGTTAGTGTGCAAACCTAAACTTTTCATATGTCTTAATTCCACATTTGAGGAAGTCATTCAGATCGTTATTATTTGAGATGATATATTCAATGACACTTTCCAAATACAATAATGGCCAGGTTTAATATAATTCTACCGGAAATAGACTCCCTCGAGTATAACTATTTTACCGGACAAAAACGATTTGTATCATTTGTATCGGTCACTTTACTACTATATAATTCGTGAACAGTGCAACTGGATGCAATTCCATCTATCCACTTTAAATTATTTCTTTTCAATTTTTTTTTTTTTTTTTTGTCTCCTGAGTTATTACTCGATAACGATCAACGATTTTATTAATGTCGCAGGAAATGTTATTTAAAGGCGAATGGTTCCCAAAGAAATGTGTGAACCTAACCTTTGTTTGTACGGGCACGTCCCGTTAATTACGAATTCCAGTAAAATTACTATTATATTTCGTTTGTCAATGCGACGCGACTATGTGGTAAAAATCAACATAAGACTCGATTTGCATTTCACTGAGGTCATATATCGTTCACCCCTGTAGCTTTCGAAGCCGTACACAGTTGCTAATCTGACCTAATATGAAACAATACTACGTGTGGCGGTACAAACACGGATAGGTCGTAGATACAATAAAAATTACAATATTATA